CTGACGACGAACACGAGGAACACGAGCACGGACAGCAGCTCTAGGCTCAGGCTCAAGGTCAAAGCTAGACTCAGGCTCTCGACGCTCAGGGGTGGAAGCACGAGTCTCAGGCTCTCGACGCTCTCTGACACCCCAGTGTAAGGAGCAGGAGCAGGCAGTGGGAGTGTGGTAGCAGCGGCGGCTGTGACTGGTCCGCCGGTGGACACAGCAACGGAGGAGTAGTACCTGCCACAGGGAAGCCAGTAGCACCTGGCTGAAGACTGAGAAGGTGGCGAAGAGCACCAGTAGCTCCACCAGGACCTCCAGCACCTCCAGGACCTCCAGTCCCAGCAGCTCCAGCTCCTCCAGCACGAGCAGCTCCAGCAGCTCCACGACCTCCAGCACCAGCAGTACCTCCAGTACCTCCAGCACCAGCAGCTCCATGACCTCCAGCACCAGCAGCACCTCCAGTACCTCCAGCACCAGCAGCTCCACCAGGACCAGCAGCACCTGCAGCTCCCCGACCTCCAGCACCAGCAGCACCTCCAGTACCTCCAGCACCTCCAGGACCTCCAGCACCAGCAGCACCTCCAGGACCTCCAGCACCAGCAGTACCTCCAGTACCTCCCGCACCAGTAGCTCCAGGTCCTCCGGTAGGAGCTCCGACGACACCAACACCAGAAGGACTCGCAGCACCCCCAGAGTCAGCACCCGAACTCGTAGTACCCCCAGAGGTAGGACCCTCGGTCTCAGCACTCGCAGGCTCAGTACCCTCAGTCGCAGCACCCTCAGGTCCAGTACCCTCAGTCCCAGCACCCCCAGGCTCAGTACCCTCAGTCCCAGCACCCCCAGGCTCAGTACCCTCAGTCCCAGCACCCCCAGGCTCAGTACCCTCAGTCTCTGCTCCAGTGTCCACAGCAGCAGGCTGCAGAGGCGGCGAAGACGGCAGAGGTGGGAACCCGGGGGGTGTAGCCAGACAAGGAGAGCGGGCACCCCCGGACTCACCACCCCCAGCCCCAGCTCCAGTAGTCTCAGCTCCAGAGTCCACAGCAGCAGGCTGCGGAGGCGGCGAAGACGGCCGTGGCGGGAAACCCGGGGGGATCTCCAAGCGAGGAGTGCGGCGAGTGGTCGCCGTGTCGTCGGCGACGGCGTCACCCCCCTCAGGTGAGTCAGAGGAGTCAGAAGAGATCTCAACTGGCTCATCCAAGGGGGGTGGGTCTACCTGGGACACACCTGAGGGAGCAGGACCCTGTGGGGGAAGGGGGTCTACCGGGGGGGGGACTGGTACCAGGAAGAGAGGCGCGAGAGGGACCGGGTGGGACGCGTGCGGGTGAAGTCGGTAGTAACAGACCGACTCGTCGAAGGTGACGTCCTGAGAGGACAGAACACGACGCGAGGCAGGGTGGTAGAACTGCCAGGGTGGAGCGTCGGTGGGGAAGCCGAGGAAGACACAGCGGAGAGTGCGAGGGGAGAGCTTGCTCGCTTTGGTATCGCGAACAAGGGAGAGCGCGCCCCAGACCCGAAACGACGACGCATCACCAGGCTGTCCCGTCCAACGGAGTGTGGGCGAGGTCTCTGGAGCAGAGACACGGGGCCAGAGGTTGAGCTGATGCGCGGCGTATCGGACCGCAAACGGCCACAGGAAATGGGGAGCAGCCGCATGGATCATGGAGGTACGAGCAACCTCCATGATCAGGCCAATGCGACGCTCAGCGATCCCATTTTGCTGCGGAGAGGCCGGAAGCGTGAACGACTGGGCGATGCCCTTATCCTGGCAGAACGTCTCAAGGACGCCAGAGGAGAACTCACCACCCCTGTCAGAGTGCAGACGCAGGACTGGAAAGTCCCGCCGAAACCGCTCGCGCAGCTGGTGACGAGTAGCACGGATCCAGGGGATCAAGACACCACTGACATCCGCCTTGCGCCGCAAGGGGAAGACTGTGGTGTAGCGTGTGTAGTCGTCAACCACCAGCAGGAAGTAGCGCTCCTGGTCCGTTCCACCGACGGGGGCCGGGCCCCACACGTCCATGTGGAGAGTCTGCAGAGGAGCAGTGGTCGGAGGAAACTCGGAGGAGTGAGGAGCGGCGCGCTGCCGCCCCTCGACGCAAGGAAGGCACGGCGGCGCAAGTGAGCGCGGGAGGGGGGGCAGGGTCTCAGGGAGGCCAGTGACCAGGAGCCGGGAGTGCATGCGGCGCAGACGCTGCAGGGAGGGGTGACCAAGATGGTGGTGCCAGCGCTGAGTCTCGTGCGTGAGTACTCGGCACGAGCAAGACGCAGCTAACTGTCCTGACGCAGACGCTCGACTCGACGTAGCTACCTGACCTGACTCAGCCACCTGTGCAGACGCAGTGGTCAGTGTGTACAGACTAGACCCAGGCTGTCGAGTGAACGTAGCCAGGTGACGGCCAGTCCGGGAGCACGTACAGATCGCCACACGCTGCCCTCCAGGAATAAAGGTATCAACCCAGACATCCTGAATGGCAGCGTTGCTCACCAAGTTCGTCGAGAACGTGGGGAGGTGGAGACCTGACAAAGAGCCGGAGGGGACTGCTGGACAAGGGAGGACCGTGGAGGCTCTCGCAACCACTGGGCCCCCAGAGGGGTCAGCCAGTGAGACTGGGACAGGTGCTGTGAGTGGTGTGACTGTGGTGCAATCACGGAAGAAGCAACGTGACGCGCCAGAGTCAAGCGTGAAAGTGTGCAAGACCTCAGCTGAGGCAGGACCTGTGGTAGTAGACGCACTAGCAACTAGAGCGTCGGTAGACTCACGGGCACCTAGAGCTGCAGCAGACTCACTAACACCTGGAGTGGCAGCAGACTGACTAACACCTGGAGTGGCAGCAGACTCACTAACACCAAGAGCAGCGGTCTTAACAGAACGATAACCTCCACCACCAGGACGACCTCGCTGAATAACCCACTCACGAAGCTGCCTAGGGGTGGGGTCGTCCGGGAGAAGCAGTGCCCGCTGCTGTCCACCCCTGGCCGCAGCGACTGCCGCGGAAGTGGCCATGACAGACAGTGACTGTCAGGAGTAGGTCCAGCACCTCCAGCTCCTACAGCGCCAGCAGCACCTCCTACACTCCCAGCAGCACCTCCTCCACTACCAGTAGCACAAGTAGCAGCAGCAGCAGTAGTAACAGCAGCAGGGCGGTTCGGTGGGGGTGGGAGGCCGCACCTCCACCACTCCCAGCAGTACTCCCTCCAGTAGCAGCAGTAGCAGGGCGGCTCGGGCAGCAGCAGCAGACCGAGCAGCAGCAGCAGCAGCAGCAGTAGACCGAGTAGCACTAGCTGTAGCAGTAGTAGTTGCAGTAGCAGCAGCAGTGACAGCTCGGGCTGGGCGGCGCGGCTCGGACACAGTGGCAGAGCAGCAGTAGCACTAGCTGTAGCAAGTGCAGTAGTAGGAGCTGCAGCAGTAGTACTAGCTGTAGCAGCAGTAGCTTCAGTCAAGCAGCAGTAGCTTCAGTCAGGAGCAGCTGTAGCAAGTGCTGGAGTAGGAGCTGCAGCAGTAGCACTAGCTGTAGCAAGTGAAGTAGTAGGAGCTGCAGCAGTAGTACTAGCTGTAGCAGCAGTAACTTCAGTCAGGAGCAGCTGCAGTAAGTGCTGGAGTAGGAGCTGCAGCAGTAGCACTAGCTGTAGCTGGAGTAGCTTCAGTCAATAGTAGCTGTAGCAAGTGTTGGAGTAGGAGCTGCAGCAGTAGCACTAGCTGTAGCAGCCGTAGCTTCAGTCAGTAGCAGCTGTAGCAAGTGCGGTAGTAGCAGCAGCAGCAGTAGCACTAGCTGTAGCAGCACTAGCTTCAGTAGCAGCAGCAGTGAGTAGCGCTAGCTGTAGCAGCAGTAGCAAGGAGGAGCAGCTGCAGCAAGTAGCAGCAGCAGCAGCAAGGAGGAGCAGCTGCAGCAAGTAGCAGCAGCAGTTTCAGGGCAGTACAGGCGGCAGCAGCACTGCAGCAGCAGTTCAGGCGCAGCAGTGTAGCAGCAGCAGCGAGTGCAGCAGTAACACGGGCCGCGTGCGGGCCAGGCGCGGGCTGTAAGGGCTGCGTGCGGGCCTGGCGCGGGCTTTACGAGCTGGGTGCGGGCCTGACGTGGGCTGTACGGGCTGCGCGACGGCCTGGCGCAGGCTGTACGGGCTTCGCGACGGGCCTACGCGGGCTGTACGGGCTTCGCGACGGGCCTACGCGGGCTGTACGGGCTTCGCGACGGGCCTACGCGGGCTGTACTGGCAGCTAAGGCGCGGTCAGGGGGGGTCGCACGTGACAAGGAAGGAAAATCGCGTCTAGGGCAGAAAAAGGAACCGTCTCGCCTAGAGCACGGTTTCGAATTTCGCGTTTCTCCTAGGGGCGCGACTCGGGCAGTAGATCGAAATAGTAGTGGTGGGCCCTTTTAAACATTCGGTCCTAAGGAGCATTGTGCTCTTAATACCATGTTAGAATCACTAGTAGCTAGGTGAGGAATGATGATTAGGTGAGGGAGAAGGGGTACAAGAGTGTCGAGAGAGTTGGGTTGTACCCTCTAAGGTGTGACCCTACACAACCTAGAGTAAGAGCATAACAATATGTTTTGACAGTTCCATCCTTGTGACAAGACACACCAAGGAGGAAGTAGTAGAAGGTTCCACATCAGGACTAGTACCAACATACATTGCAATAAATACCAGTCCATACGGCTGCACAGCGCTTACTGATAAAGCAATACTGCGACAATTCCTACTAAACCAAGTCTAATCAGCTCGACATCAAAACACCCGGCAGAAAATAACCGTAAGCGCCACGCGAGCCTATTCAGATACGTACAAGTACCACAGCCAAGGAACATGCGACACATGGCAGCGACATGGGGATTGACACAGCGAATATACAGCAGGAAGTGAGCAGGGACAAGGTTACAATCTTGCAAGTAGCAGCTGCGAGTCCGTGCGACAAACACAAGCCAAGGGAGGCATGGCGAGGCGAGGCGAGAGAGGCGAGGCGAGGCTGCAAGAATTAAGAGTGACAGCAGCAGCCGTTGGATAGAACCTTAGCCTCATCAAACACCAACAGCGTGGAAGACAATGGGAGCCAGGCCTCCAAGAGACCAGGCCAGGCACATATAGGCACAAAGACGAATACCCGTGTCAACATCAAACTGATGCACCACTGCTTTTGCTGGTTTTGGAGTTACTGCTGCTGCTTCTGCTGTCGCTTTACCACCAGTGGCAGCACCTTTGGCTGATGCAAACGTGCCCCATGATTGCGCTTTGGCTGCGGACCTGGCTGCACCAGCAGAAGTTGACTTGGCGTGAGCTGCGGCACTGGCAGCAAAAGACACTGCTGACTCACTCTTCCTCATCCTGCTCGCCCTCTTCCACAGACCCTTCTTCTCACGTGCACTCCTCTCTGCAGCCGCAGTGGCAACAGCCGCAGCAGCAGCAGCAGCAGCAGCAGCAGGAACAGGAACAGGAACAGGGGCAGGAGTAGGAGCATTTACAGTAGTTGCAGCAGCACCAGCAACAGCAGCGGCAGCAGCAGCAGCGCCAGCATCCACGTCACTGCTCCCACCGACAGCCCAAGGCACCGAGACCTCATCCTCGTCTAACTCCTGACAGAACACCCCCCCCCCACAGCTCCCCATAGCAGGCCCCTTCCCCTCCGCCTCCCCACCCCTCCCCTCACCAGCAAGCCCACACACACTCCCAACCTTGCGCATGCCCGTAATGCCACCAGGTGCACTCCCCACCCTATGCATGCTGCCACCCACCCGGCGCAGCCCCTTAACATATCGCGTGGAGAACACAGGAATTCCGAGGGTGCGGCAGAGCAGCGGCAGCACCTGCTTGGCTGTAGCGCTGCCGATTTCCTTCATAAGCAGCGCGAGAGGCAGGCCTATGAGGGCTCTCGCGGCGATGGTGATGGCGGAGGAGAGAGAGAGGGAGTCGCCGGGAAGGGGCAGTGCGAGGTAGTGCGGACCCAGACCAGGGAGCCTCAGATGGTAGCTTGAGACCTGGGAGACCGGGGGAGAGAGGGGTTCAAATTCGATGACCATGGCTGGGGTGGGGATGTGCCCTGCAGCACTGACAGATGCTAGCGACGGGCTTGCACGCCCACATGTGCAGCCACGTGCTAGCGGCGGTGGCGGCGGCGGCGGCGGCGGCGGCAGCGGCGGCGGCGGTGGTGGTGGTGGTGGTGGTGGTGGTGGTAACTCACGAGGCCGAGAATGACACCGGTGAAGGCATTGTGGTCCTCGTAGCTGGGCGTGGGGCGGGGGGGCGTGGGGTAGGCGAACAGCTGCAGCACCGCCAGGCAGGCGTGGAAGAGCAGCACTGGCAGGGACAGTGGGGTGGAGGTGAGGGCGAGAGCGAGGTGAACAGGGGGAAGTTTAGGCCAGTAAGGGGTGCGGAGAAGTGGGTGAAGCGGGGGAAGAGGGAGAAAAAGGGGAAGCGGGGGAAGAGGGAGAAGAAGGGGAAGAGGCGGGAGAGATTCAAGAGGTCAAGTGGCCGGCCCAGTGAACCTTGTGGGTTACAGAAGGTAGATGAGGAATAGGTTTGGCACAAATGCAGCAGCAGCAGCAGCAGCAGCAGCAGCAGCAGCAGTGCTAGTGTCGGTGGCAATGTCACAGTGAAATGCAAGGGAAAAAGGTGTGCAGCAGCTCACCGTTGGGCCCGTGGATCCAGAAGTGCAGGATGTTCGACACACAGCAGCAGCCGCGGCATAGTCACATTGTGAGGCGCCTAGTTGTGAGGCGCCTAGTTTCGAGGCGTCTCAAAGCTAAAGTGGGCGTGCAGCAGCTCACCGTTGGGCCCATGTATCCAGAAGTGCAGGATGTGCATGTCGACACACAGCAGCAGCAGCGGCATGGCCACTCCTATGGCCATGCCCGCTGCCAGGTCGATGGGCGAATGCATGCCCAGGTACAGGCGGCCTGGGGGAAGAGGGGGGAGATAAGAAGACGGTGGAGATGCGAGAGGGGAATGGAGGACGGGGGAGAAGGAGGAAAGGGGGAGAGGGGCAAGGTGATGAACAGGGATGGAAGAAAGCGGGAAGGAGCTATGGAAGAGAAGTTAAAGAAGGAAGGGGTGAAGAAAGAGCGAGATGGTGACCGACAGGGCGAGGCAGGGGGATGGAGGCAGGGCAGTCAGTCATAGGGAAGAGCAGGTCGGTAGGGGAAGAGCAGGTCGGTAGGGGAAGAGCAGGTCGGTAGGGGAAGAGCAGGTCGGTAGGGGAAGAGCAGACCAAACTGAGGCCGAAGTGGGAGAACAAGGTCGCTTGTGGGGCAGCAGCATACAGTTCAGACAAGGAGGGCGTTGGTGGGTAACAGCATGAGACGAGCGAGGGGCTGGCACACTGTGCAGACTGGGAAAGCGCATGGGTGAGTGCGATATGGTGAGAGTGGAGAGGGGCGAGGGGCGAGGGGCGAGGGGCGAGGGGCGAGGGGGGCAGGTTAGGGATAACGGGTGAGAGAGTACGCACCAGCGACGACAATAACCACCACAACCAGCACGACTGTGGCCAGGGGGAGCAGCGCAGAGACGCTCATGCCTTCCCTCAGGTACAGGAAGAGCAGCAGATAGCTGCACGGTGAAGTTCCAGAAGGGAGCGGGTGAGGGTGAACGGGGGGGCAGGGGGAAAAGGGGGACGTGGGGGGTGAGAACAGGAAAGGTAGCACGACAAGAAGGGACGGGAAAGCATAGGCAAGGGTGCAGCAGAGAGGACGAGAGAGGAACAAAGGGAGGGAGGGGCAGGGGGCACGGAAAGGAGGATAGGGAGGGACGAACTGGTCGGTGCAGCGAGAGAGAGGGGGAGAGAAGGGGGGAGGGGGAGAGAAGGGGGGAGGGGGAGAGAGGGGGAGAGAGGGAGTACTGACAGGGAGAGTGCGATGGTGTTGATGGTGTGCGAGGAGGGCAGGCCGAACTCGAAGCTGCTCTGCGCGTCCATGTGCGTCCCCGTGACCCGCTGCGCTGGCGGGGAGAGCGGCCGCGGCGCCGCCACCACGTCCTGCTCATGCGCATGCGATTAAGCATACACACATGCACACACCCACACACGCACATGCATGTGGACGCGCACCCACCACATAGGCACACCCACCACACATACACACACCCAGCACACGCACCCAGCACCCAGCACATGCATACGCACACGCACAAGTGTACAAGGACTTGAGCGCCCTGCCACACAACACAGGTCTCGTAACGATATGCGCTCGCTATGGTACAGGCCGAGAGTACACCTACCTAACCGCATCACGCGACACCGTCCACAACTCATCTGCATGACGGACCGACCGTCGACGAGCCTGGCACCAAGAGCGCAGTGCCGTGGCATGGCATGGCACGCAGACACAAAACACACCAGACCAAGTGAGCGCGCACAGAAATGCGCGTGCGGAATGCGCGTGCGTGCGGCGTGTACGTGTGCGGTCGCGCGGCACAAGGACCAGCGCACGCACCTTGAGCGCGTTCCCTGCGTACGTGCAGAGAGCGAGCAGCAACACCGCCAGCGAGGCGAGATACGGCCTGCCGGACTGTGAAGGCGGGAGCAGGGAGAGGGCGACGAATGGAGGGAGGGAGGGAGAGATAGAGGTGCAGGGAGAAGAGGACGACGGGATAGCGGAGTCATGGTGGGAGGACACCACGCAGGGGAGTAACGACGGAGATACATCCCCGAGCATGCGCGGTGGAGAAGGAAAGGGCGAGGAAAAGAGATGGATAGATAGACGCAAGCATACACGAATAGAGCAATATGCCTGGAGAAGAGGGAGGGAACGAAGGGGAGCGGGAGGAAGCGGGAGGGAGCGGAAAAGAGAGGGAGGGAGCGTGGGGGAGCGGGAGGGAGCGGGAGGGAGAGGGAGGGAGCGGGAGGGAGCGGGAGGGAGCGGGAGGGTGCGGGAGAGAGCGGGAGGGAGAGGGAGGGAGGGAGGGTGCTGGATGGAGAGGTAAGGAGCGTACCCAGAAGAGGACGGGGAGAAAGGCGGTGTAAAACTCCACGGAGACCGCCATAGCCATGAACGACATGAACGCGTCCAGCCATGGCCGCCGGTAGCGCTGCGCGCAGACAGAGAGAGGCGAGACGGGGAGGAGGTGGGGTGGCGATTGGGGTAAACAGATTGGTCTCTGTCTCGCCCATCCAAGCGAGGCGCGACTCTGCGCATCTCCGTCCACTCTCTCTCATGCCACCGTCCTCTCCCCTTCTCAAGTCTCCCGTTCTTCTATCTCAAAGCATGTCGCGCCTCGACCCTTGAGCATCCCACCCACCACACGCCTCCTTCCTCACGCGCGCTACCACGCGCCTCAGGCGTGTGCCTTCGCCTTGGGATGTTCGAGTCGGCTCACGGCGGAGACGAGCCGTGCAGCCGCTTGTCACGAAAAAGGGGTCGAAAGCTGCCGTGCCGGGGCGAACAGTCGACTCGCATCCGGAAAAAAGCGCAACGCGCATTGCGCGACACGCAAGCGGCAAGGTACAAGGAGGAGCAAGGCGCAAATGCACCGCGCGCCGCACATCCCAATGACGCACTACACCACTCCTCCTCCCTTTCCTCCTTACCTGAATGCTAACGACCGTCGCCGTGCCTCGCTCCACCATACGCGTTACAAACGGCTGCAGGACTCGGCGCAAGCGTACGGTGAGCGAGAGCGAGCGCGCGAGCACGAGGAAAACCACACCGCAGGCGAGAGCCGCGATCTGCCATGGCGCCAAGATCCCGCCTTGCTGCGCCTCCGCGACTCGACGAGAATAGCCGCAACGTGCAGCGTGCGCAAGGGACGACGTTAAGGAGGGGTAGGAGGAGGTATCGAAGGACCAAGCGGCGGGAAAGGACCCCGAGGAGCTTTTAAAAGCGGTCGATCCGTTTCCACTGGCCCATTCGGCGCACGAACCCGGGTTTCCCGCACCGGTTCGGTTGATAGCAGACGACCAGAGTGCTGACGTGGCGCGATGGAGAGAGGCGGGTGCGGACCAGGACGAGCTGGGGTCGCTGGTGTGATTGGAAAGCCCTGCACTGGCCAGCACGGCGGGAGACGCGGAGTCAAAAATGCGAAGAGCGGCGGACTTTAACGCGTCGACGAGAGACGTCGCAGCCATGGCGGTCGGGACGGGAGCGAACCGTAAGCGCAGCCTTGGAGCAGCGCTGGAACTTACGAAGTTCAAGCGCCGACCATTACAAGACGGAAGGGCAGGAGCAGGAGAGGAGGGGCTAGGTGGCAATCCCGATGGAGGGAAAAAATGGTCAGCCTCTGGTGCCCTCAGCTGATGCTTGCTGGCCAGCCAACATGGAGAGCAACTCCGAACCGAACTAGACAGGTTCGACCAAGAAAGTCTTCGACGATCGAGCGTCCCTGTCCGTTCATTCATTGCCCCTGCCTCACACCGTGCCTGACTTTATGCTCAGTCCGAACCGGAACAGCCCACCACGGAAATGTCCCGCCGCCTATTTTGTGGGACGATCTGGCTGTCAGAGCGGATCTGACGTCGACATGTCGGAGGCATGTCGAGAAATGCCGTTCATCCGATATATAAATCCGACGAACAAAAATTCTCGACATCTAACCGACGGTTGTTGTCGACGGTCACTTCGGCTCGGTCACGGTGTCACACAGAAAGAAGAACTTCCAGAAACAAGGTGGAGGGTTTGCGAGCCTGCAGACGTGGTTTGGATAACAGACAAACAGCGAATTCTGGGACAGTATAGCTTGCTTCGTTAAACGTTAACAAACCAGGAAACGTAACAAAACTTAACAAATTACAAGTGAGACTAGACATTGCAGTAGTAGGGAAGAATGTCATGACGACACTCTCTTCCTGTGCTGTACTATCAGTGCTGAAGGTTCCACACACAAGTGCCTCTGTCGCTGGTCCCCTCATGCCGCCTTTCCCCGTTCTTTAACGATCGGTAGAACGAAACCCTCGTTTTGCCGGTCTCCTGCGCCCACAACACGTGGCGAGCCGCGCAGCCAGCGTCCCGCAGCAGGCAGGCAGGCCGGCAGCCCGATTGAGGCGGGCGTGGCGGGATGGCTTCGACGCCGAGCTTGCTGGCGGTGGCGGCGAGTTTACGGCAGTCGGCGGGTGGCATGGCGGGGTGGTCGCTGGAGGACCTGACGCTGGGGCTGTACCGGCTTAGCCTGAAGCACGCCGCCGGGAAAGACGTCGACGCCATCCCCGGGGACGTCGTCCGCAACAGGTGCGGGTGGTGATCCGGGATGGGGATGGGGATGGGGAGGGATAGGGTGTCGGAATTGGGGATGCGGGTGGGGATGCGGGTGGGGATGGGGATGGTGATGGGGGTGAGGGTTGGGATGGTGGGATGTTATGAGTGAGGAAACGAAGGAGAGACAGAGCGAGGGAGCGAGGGAATGAGGGGAGACCCTTGCTCCCTGTTCGTCGCTTTGTGGCGTCATGTCATGCTCTCTGCTCTGATCCAGGGTGTTGCTGGTGCTCTGATCATGTCATCCCATATTTCTTTCGCGACGCTGTGTCTTTCGCCACGCTGTTTCTTTCGCCACGCTGTGTCTTTCGCCACGCTGTGTCTTTCGCCACGCTGTGTCTTTCGCCACGCTGTGTCTTTCGCCACGCTGTTTCTTTCGCCACTCTGTTTCTTTCGCCACGCTGTGTCTCTCGCCACGCTGTGTCTTTCGCCACCAGGAATGACCTGGAGGAGATGCTTCATTGGCTGCGGTGGGCCATGTCAGCATATGAGACAGACGCTGCCGCCCTCGTGACACATCTCAGGGTGAGTGCTGCGCCCATCCATGCGTGCATGAGGTGGTAGCATGAACCCGTGAAAGCGTGTGCTGCTTGTGCGTTCATGGCTCTGCTGCTGCAGCACTAACATGCCCAGTTCTCCCACCCACATGCTCGTTCGTGTTGTCGTGCGAACATGTTATGCTCTGCATCCATGATGACTCAAAAATCGACTCATCACACGCGGATGTTATGTTCTGCATCCATGATGCATTTTTGTGTGGAACCAAGGTGAGATGTGTGATTACATGCCTGCCAACATGACTGCATGCCTGCTGGTTTAGTTTCATTGTTCCCATCGTTGTTTGTCAACATCTGCCACCATCTGGGTCTGCCTTTATATCACACCCTCAACTCCTCGCTCCTCCAATCCCAAGCTTCACCCCACACCCCACACCCTCTCCAGATCCCACAGTCGGCCATCCACAGGCATGTGAGCACGTCGTTATTGCACCGCCCAGCTCACTTCGTGGCTGTGAGCGAGGAGAACCGGTGCGTGGTGGTGGGCGTGCACGGCACTCCAAGCCTCCTGCCCCGCTCTCCACTCCTCCCATCCAAATTTACTCAACCCACACCCCGCAAACCACTCTCTCCACCCCCTCCAGATGCCCCAGTCGGCCATCCACAGGCATGTGGTTTGGGCACGTCCTCCGTGTCCCGACCCCCACTGCTCCCATTCCTAGCTTCACTCCACGCTCCCCCTCTTCCACTCCCCACGCTCTCCAGATCCCCCAGGGCGCCATCCACAGGCATGTGGGCATGTCCGCAGTGCACCGCCCGGCGCACTTCGTGGCGGTGAGCGAGGAGAGGCGGTGCGTGGTGTTGGGCGTGCGCGGCACGTCGCACCCTGCCGACGTCCTCACTGACCTCTGCTCACACGCTGCTGCTTTCGCTGATGGGTGCGTGCTGTGGTGGCATGGTGGGTCAGTGGGCTGCTGCGTGGCAGGTTGTTGGGTTGGGATGATGTGGCGATGAGGTAGTGGGGCAGTGGGTGGGGTGGTGAGGGTGGTTGGATCTGAGAGAAATCTATGCATGTGCACCAGCACAAGCATGGAGGAGAGGCGGTGCGTGGTGGTGGGCGCGCGCGGCACCTCGCACTCTGCTGATGTCCTCACCGACCTCTGCTCACACGCTGCTGCTTTCGCTGATGGGTGCGTGCTGTGGGGGGGCCGTGTGGTGGTGGTCTAGTGCGTGGTGAGGAGGTGGTGCGGTGATGAGGTAGTGAGGCAGTGGGGGTGTGAGGTTGTACCACAGAGAACTTTATGGATGTGCATGGGCATACGTCGCTTAATTCAGGCTTCGAACAGAATCGTCAAACCCTCTCGTTGCCCGATTTCTTTCTTCCCCAGCGCTCATCCCCTTCGCCAATCCACAAGGTTCGCATTCCCTATTCTCCCTCCCCTCCTCCCTCTCTCCCTCCCTTCTTCCCTCCGCCCGCAGGCATGCACACGCGGGCATGTTGGAGGCAGCCAAGTGGGTGGCCCAGTCACAGGGTCAGCTCATTGCACAGCTGCTCTCGCAGAATCCTGTCAGTTGCCCTGCACTGCACTGCACCCCGTCTCCTCCCCGCCCTGTGTGCTGTTGTTTTTATAGTGGCGCTCTCAACATCCATGCTTTGCAGTTCCCATTCAGTTCATAACCTGCAATACGTGCCACTCTGCCATGCTTAACCATCTATCTTTCACCTCTGCACTCCCCTTCCCACCCGCTCGCTTTTTCCGTGCACGCCTTCCCTCCTCTCTCATAACCAATCTCCCTCCCCCCATCCCACCATCCCTCCGCCCATCCCGCAGGGCTATTCACTCGTGACGGTGGGGCACTCCCTGGGGGCGGGCACAGCAGCGCTGCTCGCCATGCTGCTGCGCCACCCGCCCTCCCTGCCCGCCCTCTCCCTCTCCCTCTCCCCGCACCTCCTCCCCGCACCCGCGCTCTCCCCCTTCTGCTGGGCCTTCGCATGCCCCTGCATAGTGTCCCAGGACCTTGCTGAGACCGCCTTCTTTATCCGCACCGTGGTGCTGCAGGTAGGGTTCAGGATGCAGGGGCAGCGGGATGCTGCATGATGCATGCATGGTACATAGCACTGCATGATGCGTGCACCTCTGCATGTCCCTGGATAGTGTCCCAAGTCCCTGCTGAGGATGCTTTCTTCATCCGCACGGTGGTTCTGCAGATAGAGTAGAGGGGCAGGGGAGTGCTGCATGGGGCAGGGGAGTGCTGCATGGGGCAGGGGAGTGCTGCATGGGGCAGTAGCATGCATGTTGCACAGCACTATGTGGAGCTAGCTTGGTATGTGCACGCATGCTGCATGGGGCACGCCATGCTGCCATGCAACTGCTCTGCCTCTCAGCTCACATCATGCCCTTATGGTGCCGGCAGCTTTCTTCTCTCGGGAAATCATATTGTTACAAGATTGTCTTGTATTATAACTCTTCCTGATCTAATTGTCTCATCCTTTCCTGCCATCATCTGTACCCTAGGGACTCTGCACTCCCTCACCCCCTCCCCCCCCCCACACCCCCACTTCCTTTTGTGTGACATCACAAACGTTTTGTCCTCCCTGCCCTACTGCACCCCCTCCCACTCCACCCTATTCCACTCTGCCCCACCCAACCCACCTGTTACGCACACCAGGATGACATTGTGCCACGCATGTCAACTGCAGCTCTCTCCGACCTCCGGACTGAAATCCTCTCCACTGACTGGTGCTCCTCCTCCCTCCTCTCTTGCTCTCTTACCCCACTTATCTCCACCGCACAACTCCTCTCCTCCTTTTTTTCCCAGCCCACACCTTCTTCCTCATGCATGTGTCCCTTCCTCATGCATGTGTCCCTTCCTCATGCATGTGTCCCTTCCTCATGCATGTGTCCCTTCCTCATGCATGTGTCCCTTCCTCATGCATGTGTCCCTTCCTCATGCATGTGTCCCTTCCTCATGCATGTGTCCCTTCCTCATGCATGTGTCCCTTCCTCATGCATGTGTCCCTTCCTCATGCATGTGTCCCTTCCTCATGCATGTGTCCCTTCCTCATGCATGTGTCCCTTCCTCATGCATGTGTCCCTTCCTCATGCATGTGTCCCTTCCTCATGCATGTGTCCCTTCCTCATGCATGTGTCCCTTCCTCATGCATGTGTCCCTTCCTCATGCATGTGTCCCTTCCTCATGCATGTGTCCCTTCCTCATGCATGTGTCCCTTCCTCATGCATGTGTCCCTTCCTCATGCATGTGTCCCTTCCTCATGCATGTGTCCCTTCCTCATGCATGTGTCCCTTCCTCATGCATGTGTCCCTTCCTCATGCATGTGTCCCTTCCTCATGCATGTGTCCCTTCCTCTTAACTTCACTCCC